TTTTTTTTTCAAGTCCAGGGTGTTGTAGAGGCCAAGGACCAGACCCACGGTGATTGCTGACCGCGGTAGCCAATGGTTGTCCTGACAGGATAGACCACCTACCCTACCCATCCCCACGTTAATACTCCCAGCACACCCCCTGTCCCTACTATCCTACCTCAGTGTGACCCGCACTCAGGACCATCACCCTACCAGTATTGATGGCAACTTGGACCAGACAGCAGTGACAAGCACCAGGGCTTGGCCAACCTCCCAGCCCGAATGGAAGCGGAAGTGTACGAACCTTGCCGTACGGGAACTTCGGACGCCAGGCTCATGCAATCTTCTACAGGCCCAATTCAGACCAGCGCCCATGGACACATCCTACCGTCCTTCCCCTAGCTTACCCAAGGCTAGGCGGAACTCAGACTAGCCGGAGCGACTTACATCCCTACCCTACCCTAGAGCTAAGCCATGCATGCATAGACCCCGTCATATACCTGATAGACCCACCCAGCCCAGTATCGTAGTTGTGTGTATATGTTGTGGCCAGAGGCTATGTATGTTTGTATGGGCCCATAGGGCCATCCCGGCCATGTTTTTGTGTCTGCCCGAAGGCTATGTGTGCTCTGTGTAACTGTATAGCGAGATATGTGTGCCCGAAGGCCAGATATGTGCAGTACTTTTTTTTTATTATAGAAAATTGGAAAACGTTTTTGCAGTTTATCAGTAGTTATATTGAGCTTCCCCCACGATCCTAATTAACTACAAACCACTCAAGTGGAGGAAAGCCCTATTGCAGACAAATTCAAAGCAATATCCCCACGTAGCAGGAGAGCAAAACAAACTACATCTACAACCCGGATGCCTAACGCCACTGCACCTCCTACCCTGCCACGTGGTGAAAATCCATGTTTATAGAAAATTGAAAAAAGGCCAACTCGCAATACTGACGTGACAGAACACAAGTCAATCGCATAGGCATCGGTGCCAATCTTCCCAGCACCTCCTTCCCTGCAACGTGACCAAAATGTAGAAACACGAAAAATTGAAATCACATATTCCACATGGCATATCGCTGAATGACCACATGGGCAAACCCTACCCGCCCTGTTGCCACGTGGCCAGCGTTGGATGGAAAAACAGACCAATCACAAGCCACCCTATCCCCCTTGGCGATCTGGCAGTCGCTATCCCACCCCTTTACTCCACCATCCCACTTCTCGCTCCCCCGCCCATCCTTCTGGTTTGTCGAACAATCCATTTGACCTACCCAGTCACCCTTCCCCCCAGTCAACCCCGAAAAAGCGTGAGAAGTAGAGGGAACTATGTATTGGTTTTTGAAAAGATGACAGGCCAAGCTGGACAAGAACCCCCCCAAAGTCCCAAGCCAGACTTGAACCCGTGATCTATGACATGTGACCTGAAGACTCTACCATTTGAGGGACAATCGCAAACGGCCCCTGTGTGTGATATGCCAGACTGGGGGGATCAACAGAACAACGACAAGCAACAGCCACAAGCAACCCACGCAGTATCAGGACCCGACATACAACACCATGCACAACCCCTTGGGTGCTGCACTGCCTGTGTGTG